ATTATTATTATTGTTATAAAGCAGCAAAGCAAGGGTACAACAAAGAACTACACATATCTAATAAGCAACAAGCATAAGTACTACAAACAAAGAACTGTGTATAACTGTGAATCTATGGAACATAGGGCGTACAAAAACTGTGTATAACTGTATGTATGTATGTATAGTATAAGGTTTTACGGCGCTCGCAACTGCTAAGGTCATATGAGCGCTGTATAACTGTGAATCTATGGAACATAGGGCGTACAAAAACTGTGTATAACTGTATGTATGTATGTATAGTATAAGGTTTTACGGCGCTCGCAACTGCTAAGGTCATATGAGCGCTGTATAACTGTGAATCTATGGAACATAGGGCGTACAAAAACTGTGTATAACTGTGAATCTACGGAACATAGGACGTACAAAACTGTGTATAACTGTGAATCTATGGAACATACGGCGTACAAAAACTGTGTATAACTGTGAATCTATGGAACATAGGGCGTACAAAAACTGTGTATATCTGTGAATCTATGGAACATAGGGCGTACAAAAACTGTGTATATCTGTGACTCTATGGAACATAAGACGTAAAAGAACTGTATATAACTGTGAATCTATGGAACATAGGGCGTACAAAAACTGTGTATATCTGTAAATCTATGGAACATAGGGCGTACAAAAACTGTGTATATCTGTGACTCTATGGAACATAGGGCGTACAAAAACTGTGTGTAACTGTGAATCTATGGAACATAGGGCGTGCAAAAACTGTGTATAATCATGAAGCAAGAAAACATAGCAATGCTCAAGAACGGTACATGTAAAACAGCAAAACATAGGGACTGCAATGAACTGTGTATAAATGTGGAGGAAAAACAAAAACACAAACGAAAAAAAACAGCATAAAAAAACAAAAAAACAAGAACACAAACGAAAAAACCCAGCATAAAAAACAAAAAACTAAAAACAAAACAAATTTTGAACGCCCCCCCCCCCCCCCCCCAAAAACAAAACAAAAACAACAACAACAAATAAATAAATACGTATATAAATAAGTAAATAAATAAATAAATAAATAAATAGATAAATAAAGAAAGAAACAAGTAATTCATAAAATCTCCATCATACACAGGGTTGTCAGTTTGGCAGAGTCCCTGTTAAGGATCGGAATTCTGGCAGTTTTTTAAAAGTCGTTTGGCGGGAAGAAATTGTTTTGGCAATTTGGCAGTTTCTTTATTTTTTTTTTCTTCTTATTCCCCGAATGTCTAATCAGAATTGACGACAGCCGCTGATGATCGATAAAAGTTGACCTTCCCCTCAAGTAAAACAGAAACATTTTCATACAAGTCAGAGTTTGGCAGTTTTATTCAAGTTTTGGCGTTTTCTTTTTCACACGAATTTGGCTGGGAGTCTGAAAATGATCTGGCGACCCTGGAGCCTTACTCTAAGCAGTCGATAGGGACTACAAAGAACTGTATTATATAACCGCGAAGCAACAAAATATGACGTGGTTTGGATACGTCTTAAGGCCAGGGTCACTCGCTAACACCGTGACCCGAGGCGTCAAAAAAGGTCACAAGAAGGCATGGTGAGCTGCCGATAAATTGAAGGTTAAAAAAAAAAGAAAAAAAAAGAAAAAAAAAGAAGAAAAAAGCTAGGCAGTCACAGACACAGGCTACGTCAGCAGCACATGACAGACACAGATACGACAATTAAGGGAATGCGAGACCAGTTGTTTTTTTTTTACTCGAGTTCGATTGCGAATAATTATGAAATACTCGATTGAGGACTTGACAACTCGAATACCCGAATACTGAATATAAACTCAGTGTATCATTTTGTTGAAGTGTAAACAAAATTTTACAAAGTAAATAACAAAGATACACCACCCCCAAACCCCCCCCCCCAAAAAAGAACAACAAAAAAAGGGAAAAAAAAACAACGAATAATAGTTTAAACAACAATCAAATGCTATTAAAACTATTGAGGTGATTTTAACAGTGCAAAAAGAAAAAGATGCAAAAAAAAACCAAATAACAATGCAGCAACAAACAAAAGCAATGAAAATTGCAAAATCTTTAATTCTACTAAAAGCCCCACAGGATTAAAATAAAGAAGAAGTAAATACTTGAGTAATGACCTAAGTATTCGGAGGATTTATTTTCAAGCGAAATTTTGAGCACCTAAAAACTACTTGAGCGAATAAACGCAGGGACCAAAGATAGTACATAACAAGATGGTATACTCAGCCAAAAAAGTGTCCGCCGGAAGTCCGCTCTTTGCCGCAGTCTGTTTTGAAGCTCTCTTTCGTTTTTCCAGAAGAAGAATAGGAATAGCACCTCCTTGCGTGCGCAGATCGACTGATGTTCATCAGCAGTTCGGCTCGTTCAGTGTGGGGTTTTAGTTTAAAAAATTTTTTAATGACCTCTCGCCTTTCATTCTAAAGTCAAATTAAACGAAGAAAACAATCACCCCTTCCTCCGGGAGAGTTTTTTTGGTCAACGTAACCATTTTAAAAAAGCGTTCTTCGGAAATTTATTTAAAAACTTGCTAGTTTCACTGTGATTTTTTAAACACAAGTAGGGTAACTCTGTTCGCAAAGGGTGCGCATTTGCGGAGAGGGTGCTACCGAATTTTGAGGACACTTTTTAAATTGTCTCTTATTATGTAGACTCTTTGCAGGGACTAAATATTCGAGTACTCGAGGAGACTTGAGTACTTGTCCGTCTTTTAACACAATCTTTTATTGGAAAGTTTTATTCAAATTTGCTGGATTCGGGTAATGCGCGTTAGGATTCAGGTAACGGTTGGAGCTATGGTTCAACTTAGGGTTTAATTAGGTTAAGGTTAACTCTAGCCTTAAATTAAGGCTGAACCTTATTACCCGAATCCAGAGTAAGGGCTTATTTTCTTACCTTCTGTGAGACAAAGGGGGCATCTGGGTGTAACTAAAGACAAAACTTTCGATTTCTTAAAAACACCTTAAATAAAACAATGAAACAACCTGTTTTTCTCTATTACGTATCTGTTTTATATTAGGATGTAAGGGATGATTACATTTCCAAAAGTTGGGTTTTATGGGTGAAGGGTTTTCCAAAAGCATCAAAAAGTAAAACACCAACTATCATACAATTACACCCCCCACCCCCAAACAACAGCAGCAACAACAAGAACAATAACAAAACAAAAGAAAAAAACCCCAACAACTCCCCTCCACCTCCTCCAATAAAGAAACCCAACCAAACAACAACAAACTCCCCCACCCCCCAAAAAAAACAAAAAACAAAACAAAACAACAACAACACAAAAACACAAAAACCAACAAAAAACAACAACCCCCCCCCCCCTAAAACAAATCAACCCGAACTACTCCTACACTCTTCGTCGACTCTGTCCCATACACTCAGTGTTCACACGTGTCAGGTTGACATGACAGCATCTTCCACTGGCAGAAACGACACAGACATTGCCCACGAGAACACAACAGATACGGCAGCGGTGATCAAGCCAGGGTACAGTGAATGTCTTCCCCGAGAACCGTTCCCTGAAATGGTGGGCATTAAAAGACACGATTAGATAGGCTGTTTTAGCAAATGGAAACAACATGAAAACTACTTCTAATTTGTACTCCGATAAATGACCGAATGGACTGACAAATGAGTAAATAGTTCAGGTTTAAAAAAATAATAAATAAGACACAATTGAGCAAATTATGGTGAATGATATGTGCGTCGTTTTGTTTCTTGACGGACGATCTTAAAGCAGTGTGTACATGATACAGCTTTGTCTGAGGGGTAGACTTAAAGTTTGTAGACAGCCTAAGTAATCCTTCCCTCCCTTCAGATCTTGACTTCTTTGATAAGCCCCAAAGGAGTGACATGGTCAATACGTTTGGAATCGAGGAAGGTGGGTTTTATTTTTTGTAAGAGGTTTACGGCACTTGCAACACAATAAGGTCATATAAATGCCGAAGATTAGATGTGTTACAAGAAAGCAACATACACAAAAAAGAAGGAGGAGAGAGCAGGACGATAGATGTTTGATGGGAAAGAAGGAGCAAACCACACCAGAGCACCCGCCAACCACCCACAAGGAAGGTGTAAGCGATGTATTACTTGTTAAATGTGATTAATGAATGTGAAAATCTGTATCTAGTAAAATGCATTTCAGTTGTCCACAGATTTAGATAACTCACGAATGCGATTAAAAAGACGATGTTTTGTGTTATTTTCATTTTTTAAGCCTGAATTTTACATAATATTTCATCCAACGTAATGCCGTTTATTTATCCAAAGGAACCCTTTTATGCTGGCTTCAACAATGTATCTTAAATATCATCTCTATAACTTGTCCTCAGTAGGACTGAGTTCGATTCCCGTGTGGGAACATATCACGTTATTGTTATTGAGTATTTCTGCCTAGCTTTTGGAATGTATGTATCCATGACAGAGCCAGGGGGCTCTTGTGGCCTAGAGGTTAAGGTGTTCATCTCTCTTTCAAAGGTCCCGGTTTCGAATCCGGGTAGCGACGGACACATTTTCTTTTCTAAAATTGTCTCCTTTCACCACCTTTCCTGCTCTGTAACAATGCTCTCTCGTCTGCTTTCGTCTCCAATTTCTGCCCCCCACCCCCTCATCTCCTTTGCCTCCTCCTCTGGGCTCATGACTCTTTCTCCAACTTGTCTATTGCTACTCCTTGGCTCCTTCTTACAGCTGTCTTTCAACCACAGCCCTAATCTTCTGGCAGGAAAGATCTACACCTAGCCTTCTCGGACAAAGGCGAAAAGTCTCGGAGGTCCTGTGTGCAAATTGTGCACGTTAAAGATGCCTTGGTGTTTTAAAATCGACAAGAGCTTTGGCTGCCACCTAGACAAAATTTCAAAATTTCCTACCAACTGAAAATGTTTAGTGTGTCCTGCGCGCTCTTATGACCTTACGCAGTTGTGAGCGCCGTAAAACACTTACAAAAAGAAACAAACAACACAGCCAGGGTTACAGCGACTGTGGTGAAACTTTTGGGTGTCTCGATCATCATCGCATACACAAGACGTGAGTTTAATTCTCGAGTGGAGAGGACGGTGTTCTTTCTGCATAGAGTAACCTCATTTTTCTTCTTGGGCGTTGTATTCCTCTGAGTCCGGGTTGGCTTTGACAGGCAGGGTCAAACAAACCAATCTCTAAAATAAGTCTTTTAATTGTGTAGATTAGGGAGCAAAACAGTGACATACAGCCCGCGTAAACTCTAACCGTTGAAGCAACCTGGCTCCAAAACGACTTAACTTGTGCTAATGTGGACGTAAAAGTTTGAGAACATTCGATTGGTAATAGTCAGAGAAAGTTATGAAGGGATTTAACGAGTTAGACAATCAGTTACCTTGGTCTCCGCGATGTTCCAAATCACCTGTGGAGTACATAAACAGAAGGAAAAGATTATTATCAGGTTGAATTACGCCAGGTATTATTTTGACTATACGTATGCTGTGAAAGGTAGCACTTTTGCCACAAAGTATGCATGGGAGGTAGGAGCAAAGCGTCTGCAGTACATCATCAAACAATCATTGCTTCTCTTCCGTAATTTTGGACATCGTTACTGTTGAAATCGCCCATAGACCGTGGGCCCTATAAATTTAAATAGACGTTCATGAAATCACGAATAAGCCGTGTGGCAACATTCATTCCCACCATAAGCGAACCTAATTCCCCCTTTTGGGCCCCTCTCTTTAGCAGACAGAGACACTGTTTATATTATAAGCTAACAATCAGACTGGTCGTGTCTATCTAAAAAAGATGTGGGGGTCGAACTCCAAATAAACTCGTGGTTGCAGTATTTGTTTTCTTTTCATCGGCTTTTACTGCTCTACAATCAGGCCAAGGCATGGCTATAAAATCAAGTCCTGGCCACGAAAAGATAGATCAAGAGAGGCGAATTTGAAATCAAATAAATAATAGTATTGCAATCTCTGGTATTTTTTTTTCTATTCGGTTATTCGGATTTTTGGGTTTAAATTTGCTATTAAAACGTCATGAGACCATTATGCTTACGGCAGGTTTAAGAGTTATTATTGTGTTTTACTCAAAGTAGGAATACTTTTAAATTATGAGATATTTTCTCGATTTTTTAGCGGGTGCACATATGCATTCGGTATGTATGTTCATTCACAGCTCGGTGATACTTTCTCCAATAAGAAGTGTTATAAAAAATTAGGTTCCTTTAGCGGGAAACCTTTCTGTGTGTGCGGTCATCTCTATCTAGTTCTACGTCTCACCTTGATTACCCTGTGACATCAGTCAGCCATAGCCCCTGATGAAAGGAGCGTATGGTACGGCTTTATTGGGAAATTGACAGTAAGAATGTTTTCGAGGAAGGACCTCCGAGTTTAACCTGAGGTGCCATCTGGTTACGAATAGTTTTTTTTTTCCTTTTTAAAATTAAATCCGAACTTTTGACAACCAATGGAAATTCGGGTACTCAAAATTTTCTTTGATAGTATCTTGTATCAATTTAAGACTACTGTTTTACACAGTGCACCC